AGACACAGCCTAACAATCATTTTTGCTTTCAAATGTGAAAATTTAGTGGAAAATCTGTGAATGCGTCTACTGTGGTGACTGTGGGCTCTCAGATCGCCCAGGATGGACAGAATTGGCCAGAAAAGCTCTTCAAATGCCCTGCTGCTGATGAGAGGATCTACCTGAGGTACCCAGCTGAGGCTACTCTTCATTTACTGTAGGAGGTTTTGCACCTGCAGACAGCAAACAGTCTGAATCACTTATTACTATCATGAACTAAAACAACACTGTAAAAGCCTGACTCTGTCAGGTACCACAATAGAGTGACCAAATAATTCAGCCATGCACTATCATTTCCATATAAGGCAGCCACTAATAAGGGTTTTGCTACATAATGACCTATTTTAGATATATACACACACAAATTGATGTGTATTTCATATTAAAATAATGGCAGAACATTGCTTTAGAAATCATGGTTGTCTCTGCTTCCATCTGCAAATTCTGACATCATGTCTTATAATTTGTTCCTATTTCTACCCTTCATCTTTCATCTCTTGCTGCTGTTGAGCTGACTCAGAACCAGATCACCAGCAAACCTCACCATTACCTAATTCTTCAGCACTTTCCCGTGGAGGAGGAGGAAGGCAAAGAAAAAGAAATAAAACTGTCCCTTTAAAAACTCAAACATTTAAGCTGCTTGTCAGTCGTCTCTTCCTGACAAGGCCACTTGAATGTATTCAGGAATATTTGCATAAACGCTCACAGTGAGTTCACCGTGGCAGCTAGCGCTAATGGTACATAAAGTAATTTAGTCACTTCTCTTAGGCATCCTGTCAGGGTGATAAGCATCCCCTCTTTGCCTTGTTGCATATTAGATCATTAGATAATAAAGTGTTAGAGCATGCAAACTGACAGGGTCTCAGGGGCTATCATTTTTCGAGGGCATTGCATTCTGCCAGTAAGGAAAAATAATAGAGAAACTGATGCTGCAATTGGCTTTACATTCTTGGAAAGTCATTCAAAGATTTGGGGGAAAAAAAAAATTTACTTTGCAGCAATATGAGAGTTTTAACTGCAAACTTTGCAGATATCTGCAGCGGTGGACTTCATGCTGGTAAACTTGAAAAGGATTGTTGCAAACCCTGTCAGGATTCCCCCCGTCCATAAGCTAGTCGCTTAAATTGCATTGGAAAGATTTTGCTTTTAAAAATGACACCCTGGGATGAACTACAAGCTGAAATGTATTCTACTGGTTTGGGCCTATTGGTTCTTCACTATACATCTTACTATATATGTACTAGTTAGAAAGGTCAACCACACCGGCTTTATGGTTTACCATAAATACAAAACATGTGAGGATCCAACTATTTGTGAATGAAAAAGTGATAATTACTGAAAACCACAGATTACTGCGGCTTACCCTATTTATACCACACAGAGATGTATGAAATAATTGGCCTCTGCCAGCTATTACTTTTGAAAGACAGATAGATTTATTTGAAGTATTAGCTTCTTAACCCACTGTTTTCAAGGAGGATGGTGTATGGATATGAAACCATGATCTAGGTTGCTAGTTATATTCAGAAAGACAAGCTACAAAAAGGAACTTTCATTTTACTGTCTGACAAGGAAGATATAAATAGATATGTGTTGGATGTCCCAAAAATAATCCAGGCTACCTGCTAATGAGATGGTAAAACCTGAAAGTGGCGCCACCAGGCTCCTGAGTGGCTCAGGAGGTAAAGCTTTCCTTCCAGCTTTTTGGCACCCAAAGTCTCTTTTAGGTGTCACATAAAGTGCAACTCCACATTTAAGAGCAACGTGTCCCAACACAACTTTGTAAGAAAAAATAAGCTGGATATTGTCTAACTAAACTAGGCAACAAGGACACCTTCTTGCCTTTCCCCAGTCCTCACACAGCCAGGCATTCATCTCTATTGCTATCAGATATTTGTGTTAAAGAGTTAAATATCTAGAAAAGTACACAAGCATACCTGTGGTCAATGGCATATTATAGTTAGATCGCAGAATCTAAAAACTGTGATGAGAAGTTGCTTGACAGAGCAATAAACCAGAGGCAAACTAGCCATGACTACACTAGCTTCCCATGTCACTATTTACTGATACTGCTCATGTCAGTATGCCGTCCTTCCACAGGAGGCAGAAAAGCTGGAAAGAGGAAAGGCAAACAAACCATCTCTGCTACTTACACCTGAAGATATTATCCAAGATAAAAATTCCAAAAACTGAAGAAAAATAATATGCTTCAGGACTCAAACTAAATATAAAAATTAATTTCAGTGGAGGAAACTGTCATGAGTTCCAAAAGGTTTAAGGTGTGTAGTGGTTGCCCAAAATTCAATAGCTTTAAGCCCAGTTGAGACTTTTTTTTTTATTATTATTCAGTGAAGTGTTTTAGACACCTAATACCAACATTTAAAACAGTTTCTGGATTGGGGCTTTTTTTACTCCCTGTCTCTCAGACTCAAACGTGCATACAACTCCTGGAAAGCTGGATTGAAGGATTTAGGTTAAAAAGAAAGGCTCCAGCAAGCCTTTGGGAAGAGTGCAATTTTGGCATGTGGAGGCTGCTATTCAAAAGTAAGAATTTACTAGTGGTTGCTTTACGAGGTTGCTTGAGAGGTGCCTGAGAAAGTAGATTAGAAAAATCACCTTTCCTATGAAATGTACACATGGAGATATTTTGCAGATGTTGGCTTTCAGTGTTAGCACAGTAGCTAGGCTTTGTGTAGATATGTAAGCAGACCGTTATCTTTTTTTGTTTCTTTTTGCTAACAGAATCCCTCAGGTAGTAGGAGTGGGAACAATAGCTGTGGTAAAATGAGATGCTATTACACCATGCATGTGAATATGAACATTTATGCATGAGAAAGTAAGTATTGCCTTGACCAAAAGCATGCACTGAGAAGACGGGGGGTGTGGTGGTGGGGAAGACAAATGATGGCATCTACTTCACTAGGAATATAAGTAAAAAATAGGAGTGTTTTTTGAAAGACTAGACTTAATGGAAAGATTACAAAGTTGAACAGAGAGAAGTTTCCTTTTTGTAATGTTCTGCCTTCTGCTAATTAATAAAGACAGAGTTCGTACATTCCTTACAAAAATTCAGCAAAAATTATGACAGTGGTTTGTTTATTAAATTAGGTTGTTGGCAGGATGAAAAAAAATTCTGTAACATGAATTACGGCTGAAAATGGCTTACAGCCTACATAAAAAGTTAGAGCTAAATAAATACAGATGTAAGTTATGTTTATATAATGAGAAACGCTGCTGAGCTAAGAATTTTAGCTTAGTAAGTGTGAACTACAGACCCGATTCTGCAAACACTTATCAATACCCTCAACTTTACTGACACAAGAAGACTCATTGATCCCTACAGGACCATATGTGCACATAATCTTAAATATATGCATAAGTGCTTGCAGGACTGATGCCTGAAAGCATGAACAGAATTGAAAGCTATTTCCACAGGAATCCACTGCATAGTAGAAACCCACACATTTGCCCATTTCTCAGTATTAATAATTTCTTTTAACATAACATTTTTCTGAGTGGCATTCACTTTCCCAGAGAAAATTTTATCTGGTTTCTCCAAACTCTTTGGAAAAACCTATTTAATTATTCATCAGAACCTTGGCATATATTTGTGAAACAAACCAGCATAAAGGACTGGTGCCTTCTACACTCAACTACTTCAACGGAAGCTGAGGGTACACATCTCAGAGGGAGCAAGCATCTATTGAATTTAGGGTTACAAACAGCTTTGAAGTCAAAGATCTATTCTACCAAGCTGGAACAGGGAGAGGGGAGTGCAAGGCCCTCTGGTTTTGTTTTGTTTTTCAGTAGTAGTCATCAACTTTGAGGACAAAGAGCAAAACAAAACATTAATCAAATCCAGAGTTTTCAAAGTACATTTGCACTCAACAGCTCCCATTTTGAGCACCTACAGTCACCAGCAGATGTTCTCATCCAGGACCAGCTGATCTTACGGAAAAGATTACTGTCCCCCAGGCTTCTTCTAGCCATGTGCCCCCATCCCACCCTTGCTGGGGTTTACTGCTGCTTCAGAAAAGCCAGACAAATTGCCTTGCACCATTTCTCCTTCATTCATTTCAGCAAAAGAAGCTAGATTGGCGAAGAGTTATCATTTAAATGGTTTAACGCAAATGAATTTCTTTGAACTGAAGGAAACTAGGGAGCAATCAGACAACCATCTTAGCTGTCATGTCCACGGTGGGGAATAGCCTGCAGCAGGGAGGAGAGACAAGCAGCTGTGGCATGCAGGGAGGAGCAACTTCCTCAGCTGGCACAGCTGGAGCCAGAAGAGAACATTCGTCCATGGCTTGATTAAGCAGATGGATTTCCAAAAGGGCTCTGCTTTCATTTAGGGCAATTAAAAGGAACAGCTGATCTCCTAGAGACCTCAGCACTCTATAGATAGAAGAAATCCAATCCAAAATTCGGGTGCTGAGCACTTCAGAAAATATGCAACATCCTTTAGATGCATAGACAAAAATCAAGGCAATTTGGAAAAGGTCAGACTCCAATTTTGGATGCTGAATAGATGCAACTGAAAAAAAAAAGAAATCACCACACTTCACTGACACACAGGACAGACTCTGCACCTATGTTTGACTACTGGTTTGTCATT